GTGTTGAGATTGCGCTGGAACCCCCATTCCCTATACTACTTCTAACCACAGGCAGTCCAAGCTTTATTGTGGGTGTCGACATGGGATGGTGCAAAAAATTTATTTCAAAAAGAGCTGGCGTTTTATATGCAAATTTACATAAACCATGGAAGTTTATAAAATTATTAAAAACAAGAGGTTGTGCTAGGGATTAATACCTTAATAAGGCTCTTCGTTCGGCTTGATTAAAGAATGGAGGTACAGTGATGATAAGGTCTTTTATTGGGTGATCTGAGAAGAGATATGTTTGGAAAATGATTTAAAAATAGCTTATGCATTATGATTATATCAAGTTATTATAATTATGACTAAGTAATATATTAAACGTAGACATAACTATGTACAGTGATCTAGATGCATTGAGAGATGTAGAGCACAAAGGATTGAAGCATGAAGCTTAAGAAAGCAAAGTTTAGCGAAATGTTTCTTTTGGTTTTAAAGCTCTACAGCTCCCAGAATGTCATACATTATTACAGAGATACGAACAGATGTTTAAACTTGCTTTCATAATTTCTTTTTTATTTTGTGAGACATTTCTCTGTTCGACTCATATAAATGCAGTACTACGACGAAGGACTAGCATCAGAAACCTCAGTCAGTTTTTTCGTCTTATCACAGTGTAAGATTTACCCTTTTAACAGTAGTAAACCAATCATCATGCTTTATATTTGCAATATTTTATAACTTGACTCAATAACAGGATATATAATAGCAGCATGCATACCTGCAAACTCCTCAGCAATCACTCTAGAATGATTTAAAATCATTCCCATCAACTCTTCTGGCGAAAACTTCTTACCACTGAAAAAGAGAATACAGTACATTTGATTATTTATTCTCTAAATTCTTCTCCCAGTTAAAGAAAAAGCTATCACTATACTACTGGAACCCCACTGTTACCTAACACACTTAAAAAACAACCTACCTCCGCCCACACATAATACCACACATTTAATCTCACCTCTCCCCACACCCCATTGACACCTTACAGACAACTTACCCTACACCCTACCAAACACCCTACCAAACACCCTACCAAACACCCTACTCAACGAAGTTATTTTTGCTCTTATTGTACAAGTATGCTATCTAACATGCTTAAAAACCACACTACCTTTTATGGTTGAAAATAACTGTTCCTGAAATGAATTTAAGAATAAAAGATGTTAGCATAACATTAACTGAATGATTTGCATGAATCAACATCCAAAAACATACGGATGAAGTAAAATCTTAAAGGTACGAATGGTAAGTGATAAGATTAGACAGTAGTACAATTCATGTACGAGAAGTCCCAGATTTGCAAATTGCCGACTTAATTCCACAGGAACCACATAGATATAAATAATCCAAAAACATAAGCTATTCTTCTTATTACCTGTTTCCTTGTCTTCTTCCATATTATACCATGGAAACCTTCAAAGACATCAACCAATAATTATTAGTATTGATAAAAAAATCAATAGTATTAATGACAATTAATAATGGTTGATAATAAAAATGCTGAGAAATAGATATAAAAAAATAAACAATAACTCAGGGAGACTAAGAACAAAAAGAGAGATAACTCATTCTCCTCAATTTCTCTTCTGTTTACCCTACCACAGGAATCCCATGCACAAAACAGTGAAAGACATTGATAGAAGCTTTGGAAGTAGGCTTATTTTTTACAGTGTACATATGTAATCTCACCTCTTTTTATACAATTGCACTTGTGGGTTATCAAATTTTTTGCCTAATACATCTTGAAGGTAAATATAAGACATGGGTGGATGACTTACAGACTGCAAATGAAACATAAAATGCATTTGATATAAGACACTAAACAACGTCATCTATAAAGACACTAGAAATAAAACTATTCCTAAATAGAAAAGACTTACAACTCCTAAAGCCCCATCGCTAAATAAACGCTCGCCATTCCTAAAGGAGACAGCCACTGGAGTTTTCCTTCTGGACTCTCTAAATTTGTTAACATAATGTTTTAGTGAAAATTTTTATAAATATTACAATAAAATACAGTAGAAAAAATCAGTCAGAGCTACAATACTGCGTTTACTTACTTGTTAAGTGCTATTTCCATAGGAACACCAGGCTAAAACAAAGAAAATTTTTCAGTAAATCAAAGACCAAGTAAGTTTGCATAAGAGGGGGAATATGTGCATAAGACAGCAGTGGAGTAGCAAGATGCCCTGAGTGATAGGGAAAAGATTGGATGGTGCTGTCCTTCACTACTGTGTAGTTCATGCCTGGGGTCACTCAGGTTCCCTTCCCAGCTGAGCCACATTTGACAGTTGAGTATGTCTGAGGTTTTGTTCTCTCCCCTGCCTCAGATGTTTTTCTATGGGTTCTACAGTTTTTCTTTATGAATATTGTACAAATTCCTGGCTAAACTTAAGGGACTCCCTCAATATTTGCAACTGAGAAAACTGTTCCATCAACATAGCCTTTATTTAAAGAAAACATACATGTATATATATACTTTATTAACAGTTCAAGCTTCTAGTGTAAGTGGTACACTAATCAGGTGCACTGAAAAAGATGAATTTCTAGTTGCAACATACCTTGACTATAGCTATTTTCATAAACTGACTACCAAGATCTACAGACATTACAGCTAAGCCATCTGTCAACAAAAGACTTTGGTTAGTCATGAATAGCCAACATAAATCAGGGGCAGATCCAGGGGGTGTCCAGCAGTGCACCGGACCCCCCCCCCCCCCCCCCCCCCCCCCAACACTGTAATTACTCAGCTTTTTTGAAGTAAAAGAAACATTTACAATGCATAATATCTCTGTATACATTTCTTAATTTCAGGACATCCCCCTAACAAATCTCTGGATCCACCTTTATAAAGATGACTACATTTGATATTAAACAAGGATCTGGCATAGCCTGTATAGTTAGGCATTCCTCATGGGTTAGGGAGCCATTTCCTTCTTTCTTTCAACCTTCCCCACCCCTCAAGGAACAACTGGATATGTAGGCTACAAAATGTTTCAAAAGAGAAATCAAAACTGTATTCCACAAGGTAACAACTGCATTTGTGCCTGCACCCTGTGCTCCCCCCCCCCCCTAGTTACGGCTACGGCCCTGAAAATAATACAAATCAGTCATATTGGATAAATTATAAATGCCACATACCTGATAAATTAATAACATGTAATAGTATAACTAGGGTCGTAAGACAGGACATCAGTGTAGGTGCCCTCCAAGAAGGCATGGTGCTAATCATCTAATATCTAAACAGAATCAGATAGCGTTTATAAGTGGAAAATTTTTTTCAACCATTCCAAAGAGAATGAAGTGAATCATGATACTGCTACAAGTGTATGACTCTTCAGAAAATATTCTGATTTGTCAGAGAATTACAGTGAGGACACTCGAACTCTGAACACTTCCAGTTTTAAATTTTTATCACTTTTTTAAATGCATACCATAAATCATCCATTGAGCCAATAGATTGGAAATAAGATTTTTTTTTTTTTAACCAGGGCATTTGAAGTCAATGCTTGGATTAAAGGGGTTGAAACAGTAGAAAGTTCAGGAAGTAATAACCTGGATAAAACTCAAAGCATTCACAATTCCAGTTTCCTACTTTTCTTACTACATGTCAATAGCAATACATAAAAATCATTCTCAACCTCATCTAGTAATTGCTATTATATCTGTCCATGATACCCTATTCATGTGATATATTGTGAGGTCATATCATTTTCATCTACTCATTGTGTAGGTCATGTTTAATATGTTGTGATGCAGCTGTTTGATTGGTAAAATACCATTCTTATTACGACTATCACATCTGCTCACAGCAAGTAAATACAAGGATAAATAGATCACTCTATGCTTGCATTACTTAGTATGGTAAATACATACATAGATCCATTCATCATGGTTACCACCCCTAACCATTAAACCAGCTAATATCTGATATTTCGAAATCAACGAAAGTCAAGTATAAATTAGGTATAGATTTATTATTACAAAGAAATTGCCAAGACATTTAACAGGCAATCTATTTACATAAATACTAGTATCTATTAAATAAAAATCCTATTTTGTATGGAAGTTGTTTGAATGTTGCAGGAAGTTATATAAATCTAGTGCCAACAATAATTAACACTGACTCAGTAAAGAAACACAAAAATCTTGTAATAAAAGAAAATCAAACACTTAAGTGTTGATACGGAATTGTTTTCACGGTCACCAGGTCGATTAAATACCACTGAAAATTTATTTCAATATCCATTTTCGAGTTCTCTTTCTTTCGTTCAACTTTTGGTCAAAATTTTCGATCGTCAAATAAATCGAACCTCCAGAAGTCAAAGCATTAAAACTAACATTTCTACAAGAAAATGGGTTATATTTTTTGAGATACTTACATGAAGATGCTCTATTTTGAGGAGTAGATATATTTTAGTGTCAAAACCCTGTCCACAGTTGGTAAAATAGTGTAAAGAATAGTGAAGAATTTTCGTCCATTTACCGGCACCGTCTGCACGCGGCTAACGCTGATTGGCTGAATCTTACTTTATTCATGCGCAGTGATCATCAGTAACATAACACGTGGACCAGAAAGACTGGGTCCCGGGAAGGTACTTCATGGCTGAAGAGTCGGCTGAATACCATATAGTCGCCCGTGTGGACGCTCGTCTTGTATTGCGCTAGCCATTCACTGCCGTCTGTAGCCTTATGAGACGCCAATAGCGATGCTTGATTATCATTACATTTACATGGACGTCTCTAGCCATACATACTACATAGCAATGTATAGTAAGTAATACATGAGCATACATAGTTATCATATTATATAGCCGTACATAGATGTACATAGTTATACATGGGCATACATAAGGTATATATAGGCATACATAGCTACCCATAGGCATACATGGGCATACATAGCTATACATAGCCATACATTGCCATACACCAGGGGCGTAGCGAGGACTGGAATTCAGGGTGCGGTGGGGGAAGGGGGGCAATGCACCATTTACAAGCCAAATTCACATGAAATCCGTATGGATTAATTACCGATTTCATGCCTAAAGCAAACTTTCGGATGAAACGTGCCTCCCTCCTTACGCTAGTGCCATACATAGGCAGTAAATACATTGTTATATTGTTTAGTTGAACTGCGCAAAAGAATAAAATGAATTATGGAAACTATACTGGACGAATGCTTAGAAAAGTTGTCATACCATCTGATGGAACACAGCTCAAGCATCCCTGTGGTGCGTGATATCCCTGTGGTGCGGTGATGCTGAGGTCACGGTACTGAATTGACGACAACCTTTAAACCAATCTCAGCGATCTAGTTCATTAATCATCCAATGAGAATGCTCTAACACCGCACCCTCACACTCAATGCACGTCCGTAAAGGTTTTTATTGCTTTCACAGGGAGCCCGGCTTAGTGATGCTAAATCGGTAAAACGATCATGTTTCATATGTTGATGCCATTAATAATCGTAACTCAATACACCCCTATTACAAACGGTCACAACGTAATAGAACACCAGTGTTTGTAACGCGTAACTTAATATCGTAATAAATTCAAATTCAAATACGTAACGGCTAAGTGTAACGCACGCGTTAAGAAGAGAGAAAGGAGAGACGCTTCTCTCCTTTCTCTCTTCTTACGGGGCGTCTAACACTATTGCATTACAAGTTCTATTACGTTGTGACCGTTTGTATATGGGCTTATTGAGTTACGATTATTATGTAATGTCATCAACATATGAAACATGATCATTTTACCGATTTAGCATCACTAAGCCGGGCTCCCTGTGGACAAGCCTGTTATTCTTTATCCTTCTAGTTGCTCGTATCATAAAGTAATAGTACACGAATCCGAGGATAATGAGGATGGATTTCTAACCGCTACAGTCATCATGGACGAAGCGACGAACAACAAGTTTGAGAAGAAGTTTGCAGACATTTTATCTCGATAATACACAGTTATGTCTGAATTTAAATCGATTCTTATAGCTTTAAAATGTATCAGTATTTTATTGAAAAAAGGTGTGAMCATAAAAAACTACATTGAGTTTATTTGGTGCCTATTCTCGATTGAACGCCTTTAACAGTTAAACATACGTCGAGAGTGGAACGCAAACTATGGCATCTCTATGGCCATGAATACAGTGGAAGATCCCATAGTAATATTAGTTTCAAAGCAAACATTCTATTCTAGATTAAATTATTAGTTTCGTTAGTGATTTTATCGACCTCAACTTAGCGACATATGAAGCATATTTCTGTAAAAAAATATTATAGCTTAGACCATTCCCAAGCCTTCCCCTCCACTCCTATGATGAAGCGTATGATGTCTGGCTTTCACGACAGTGACGGGACTAAAATCACCACGCAGCGCACAAGTGTGCGTTATCTCGTTCGCTATGTAAGTGATACCATTATTCCGCAAGTCAAGCTTGATTAAGGTATACTCGTAAATCATGTTAAAGGAATACTCCTAAATGAGGTTGAGGGATACTCTTAAATCACGTATGGGATACTCTCAAATCAGTTAAGGGATATTTTACATCAGTTAGGGGAAACTCCTAAATCAGGTTAAGGGATATTCTTTAAATCAGGTAGGGGATACTCAAATTCAGGTAGGGGAATCTCCAAAATCAGATAGGGGACAAGTTCC